TTTGGATTTTATTCTAACTTCATTAACTTTGCATCAATCTTAATGAAATGATAATGATTCCATTAATCCCTGATTCTTGTGTTTCCTCTGGGCAAGAAGAAAAGGATGTTGTCTATGAAAAGGCCTGTGTAAAGAGTATATGTACGGCCTATAATATCTTTGTAGTCTAAAAATGTAGTCTAAAAATGGCAAGGCATGTATTTCAAATCAGTGGTGGGTTTCAAACATTTTTGCTACCGGTTCTATGGGTGTGGCTTGGTGGGCATGGCAGGGGAAGGATACTGTAAAATCTCCATTCCAACCCCACTCCAGGGGAAGGATGCTGTAAAATCTCCATTCCCTCCCCAATTCAGGGGAAGGTTGCTGCAAAATCCCCATTTCTTCCCGATCAGCTGGAACTTGGGAGGCAGAGAATAGATGGGGGCGGGGCCAGTCAGAATTTTTACTACCGGTTCTCCAAAATACTCAAAATTTCCACTAACAGTTCTCCAGAACTGGTCAGAACCTACTGAAACCCACCTCTATTTCAAATGCAATAGTAGAATAGAGTACTATCTTTTTGTAATGGCACCCAGCACTCCCCAAATCATAACATTTGATCCCGGTTGCCAGCATTTTTATCATATAATAGAACATTTCTGGATGCTTTATTACAATACAATTGCAATATAGCTGTAATATTTCTTACTTTTTGATATCAGAAATCCCCCTGCCCATAAATTACTTTCATCTAGAAATAAATGCCTCTTGTTTACATTCAGAGATAACGTCGTTTTTGTTGTTGTTATTCCAAAAGAAATCTGAACATAGCCAAAGCAATAAAAATCCTTTTAAAATGAGACTGAAAATTGGTAGCCTAGAAAAATGGCATTTTGGAAATGGTAATGTCTACTCTACTCTCCCATTACCGGCCAAGATTGAGTTTGACATTTGGCAATATTGAAATATATTTAAGCGTTCTTTTGAAATCAGGCATGGAGTTAAATAAATGATGGGCTTAATGTCATATCTTCATAGAGTGGGGTTCTTGCCTGTTTTCCACTGTGCTGTGATTCTGAAATTAGGTAATTTATATATGAACAACTATTCAGTGAGGCAAAGTGATAGCTTTGTATTTATTTCCGAAATAGTGCGAGGAGAGGTATTCAGTGAGATTACATTAAATCCTCTTGTATTTTGATGTTTTTAAGGTTAACTTTCAGGAAATGGTGGAGAAAAGTATCCCCCCCACAAAAAAAGAGAAATCTTAACTGTAGTAACATTCAAATCTGTTATTACTCCAATCTTTTATTAATTTGATGGTATTTCCATCATTGTAATCACTGCATCTCCTGGCAAATAGATGGGGAAGAAATGGAGGTAGTGAAAGATTTTATTTTCCTGGGCTCCAAGATCACCACAGATGGGGACTGCAGCCAAAAAATTAAAAGACGCTTGATCCTGGGGAGGAAAGCTATGGCAAATCTAGACAGCATACTAAAAAGCAGAGACATCACCCTGCCAACAAAAATGCGTATAGTCAAGGCTACGGTTTTCCCAGTTCAATGTATGGCTGTGAAAGTTGGACCACAAGAAAGGCTGAGCGCCAAAGAATTGAGGCCTTTGAACTACGGTGCTGGAGAAGACTCCTGCAAGTCCCTTGGACTGCAAGATGATCAAACCAGTCAGTCCTAGAGGAGATCAACCCTGACTGCTCTTTAGAAGGCCTGATCTTGAAGATGAAACTCAAGTACTTTGGCCACCTAATGAGAAGGAAGGGCTCACTGGAGAAGAGCCTAATGCTGGGAAAGTTTGAGGGCAAAAGAAGAAAGGGACAACAGAGAATGAGGTGGCTGGATGGAGTCACTGAAGCAGTAGGTGTGAGCTTAAATGGACTCTGGGGGATGGTAGAGGACAGGAAGGCCTGGAGGAACATTGTCCATAGGGTCGTGATGGGTCGGACACAACTTCGCAACTAATAACAACAAATCTCTGCATCATTTTTATATATTCAGTTATCTGGTCTAATAGAATTCATGAGAGATTATGTAGAAAACGGAATGGTGTTACGCTGTAATCTAGCCAATTTGTGAAACTATATACAGTTTGTGAGACTGCAATGGGCAGTTGAAGCTGTGCAACAGTAAAGTTCAGTTTTATACATAAGTAATAATTGGTAGCCATTTAGCAAAACAAATGATATTGACTCAATGCCATTTAATCAATCAGATTTATGCTTAGTTAATACTGACAGCAAATGAAGCTAGTTCAAGCACATTCAGAGCAATCAGAGAGGGTGGGAGAATGAAACTTGTCAATAAAATAAATCTTCTGTTTCAGAACTGGGGTTACCTAAATATTCAGTGGATCTTGTGGCACTTTAATAATTAACACATTTATTGTTGTGTAAGCTTATGCTGCACAGGATTAATGAAGCATAAGCTTCACTGAAAAAAAGAACATTTTTAAGAACAATGGCTTGGGTAAAGGAGATAGTTAATGATTGCTGATGGAATGACCTTCTGCAAATCCTGCAAATGAATGACATTAACTAGTTGCGTTGTGTTTATAGCAGCAGAAGGATTCTAAGAAAGCTGATTAGAGAGAACATAGATTGAACCCAGTTATTTTATTAGTTTGTTTTTATTTGTCATTCTGTAGAATTACTTCATTAACTATAAAACCCTGTGAAATATTTCAATCCATTGCTAAATAGCTAAGCAAGATATCCTTGGTAAATAATCAGAATAAAACCTTACTTTGTATTCTAGAAATGTATACGTTAATTAAAATATAAATGAACTACCTCATTAGAAATATAATTAATAAACTCTACAAATGTTAAGACACTTCAAATATTGCCTAGGTAGCTCCACAGGCAAAAAATAATTGGCATATGATTTGGATCTAGAGAGCAGCTGAGCTCCAGCACATGGGAGCATATTATAAATGAAATGCACCGAGGTCTCTAACAAATAAAATGGTGAAACTTGTAATTATATGCCAAGTACACTGAAAAATGCGCATTTACTCAGTTTCTTGAATAGTGGTGAGGTTCAGCGTAAGTATAAATCATGTTATACCCCAAATTGACTATAAGAAGAACTGTATATTATACATTAATATTTTATTAATTTCCAAGACAATATGGATACAAACTGAAACCAGATTTTCAATCACAATGTTTTTTAATAACCTAGTCCTTCCATCTTCCTAAATCTGCAGCAATAAAGTATAAGTCAGCATTATTGGATTGGATCCCAAAGAGCCATAGCACTCAAGCAGGAAGAAAATCTCCATTAATGACTTTGCATTCAATTCCAGCCATCTCTACTGCAAACCATAATATCTATGCTATTATTCATACTTCTTTTATTTTCATGCTGGGCTTTTGAAGAGGTCAGAAGGCTAAAATCAGGGGGTGGTTGAGGTGCAATCATCTTTTGATGGCTGAGGCAGGATACTGAATAGTTAAAGAGGCCAGGAATCATAGGAGGTAGAACAATTATATACGATCTGTGAGGATAAATAATACAGGACCCAATCTGTATCAGTAACCAGGACCAGAGGTTTTATCTTCTGAGCTTTTGGACTCATACTGGAGCTCATTTTTAGGGAACTTCTCTCTAGGTTATAGAGAAGTTCCCTGAAGATGGGCTCCAGCATGAATCCAAAAGCTCAGAAGACAAAACCTCTGGTCCTGTGGTGGCCTGTCGGCTGCTGGCCCCTCCAGCAACTGAATCAGAGGAGGAGGAGGCGTGGGAGTCAGGGTCAGCATCAAGGCAACCTGGGAGCTCCAAGGGGGAAGAGGGAATGGAGCTGGCAGAGAAAGAGAGACAGTGGTGGAGCCTGGGAAATCCATCAGCCCTTAGATGTAGAGTCAACAGCCCCCAGGTCTGGAGGTGGTTGATAAAGAAGAGGAGGAACAGCTGGGTCCAGTGCCTGACATGCGGCTGTGCAGAAGGCAGAGAAGGGGAGAGCAGTGGAAAGCCATAGGCTGGTCCTGGAGAAGGAAGAGCCACTGCTGCTAGTGAAGCCCCACCCTAGCTCTGGGGATAAAAGGCAGGGGATGGAGATGAATAGATGTGGCAGACAACTATTCATCTTCTGGCCAAATGGACTTGTTAGCCTGTGATAGAAACTTATTGTTGGGGCTGCCGGCATTCCTAATAAAGGAATCTTTTGACTTCACTTCAGAGGGTTTGTCACATTTGGGGTGCTAGGTCAGAACCAGGTCCCAAGTAACCAACCCAGATTGGATCCTGCAACATTGTCCTTATTCACCTTCATTCGTGATAAATAATTCACTTTGGTGAAGCCAGGAATTTCAGTTATGGAAAAATTGAAAACATTTTTTCTAAACATGCTCTTGGGGGTGTAAAATGTTGGATGGAACATTGTATTTTCTTTTGTACCCATTTGTTGCCCTTGAAGAAGAGGAATCTTGTTGAATGCTGTATTTGTTTTCTGTTCTGTCTCCTACACAAGTAAGCTAGAATGTATGGTCCTCAACCATTTACAATTGCCCAAAGCAGAGTGCTGCTACCCTTCCTTTTTCCCAGTTATTTAAGAACAGATAAAATTTTGGATGGCTCATAGAAGCATGCTTCAGATTTAATTCAGTCATTCAGCGTATGAGATGGATTGGCATCATCATCACCTTCCATAATAACGGATGGGCTGCTCTTAGTTATCCATTACCTTTAATACTTCGCAAATATTCTTAATTGCTTTGTCAGTTGCAAGAGATGGACTACACTTTCTCTATCACATAAATGTTACAGGTTAATAGAGGGTACATAGATCCATCTCTGTCTCCTTCTCCAGATATTTCAGCTTCTGTGCTAGCAAGGAGCTCATAGTTTTTTCTTCCATGCCCAGGACAAAAGTTAAGAAAGGCCCAGATTCCTGTTGTGCAGGAAAGTAATTACAAAACTTGCTGGTATGGTATGGTATGGTATGGTATGGTATGGTATGGTATGGTATGGTATGGGTAAAGGACAGGAGTGGGTTCTACTTACCTTTACTACTGGTTCGCAACGGGCATGCGCAGAAGCATTCTGATGACATCGGGGTCAGTGGGCAGAGCCTCCCACTGGTTTTACTACTGGTTCTATAGAACCGGTGCGAACCAGGGGCAACCCAACACTGGTAAAGGAGTACCTTTACTCTGCTAGTTGTTACCCACTGTAGGGGGTGGTGTTCATCTGTGTTTCAAGGCCATTGAGCTAGCACTCTCTGGAGACATTTCTGTGGTCCTGTGGCCAGCATGATGGTCAGCATGATGTCACAGAGCACTGTTACCTTCACATTGAAGTGATCAACCTATTTATCTACTTGCATTTGTATGCTTTTGAACTGCTAGGTTGGCAGGAGCTAGGGCAAGGATGAGAGCTCACTCTATAATGTGGAGCGTGGGTCTTGAACCTGGGCTGCCAGCTTTCTAACCAACAAGTTTGGCATCTTAACCACTGAGCTACTGCACCACCATGGTGTAGTGTAATGTAGTCTTCATCATTTCAATTTCTTCTATTATTTTTCATAACTTTTTAAAAAATTTCTGGATAAATGTATACAATGCAATTTTAAAAAGTCTCTTATAGAGGCATTTTCAACAACAGTTCTCTACATCTCCACTATCCAAACATAGCTTGATTGGAACATCTATTGATTTTTCTTATGTTGCTTGCCATATCTCTAAATATTCCATCAGTCCCTGTAGTCAGTCATACAACTTGGTAGCGTCCAAAGAGCTGATCTAACTTCACCTGCACTTATATACTCATGATCTGTTCCACGGTCAGCCCCTGGCCATGATTGTGCTGAACCTCCAATACAAGGGAATTCTGTCTGTAGTCAATTTGATTTCTGGTAATGTGTCATTTTGGTTATTTAAAGACTGTATTTAACAACAAGGCAATCAATGGATTGACACAAATTAATTAGTCATCCTCTTGCTTCTTTCCTGGCCATACAGTCTGACTACATTTTCCTCCTTAATATTTCCAACTTTGGCATTCCAATCTTCAACCATAAGCAGCATATCTTGCATGCATGTTCTATTGATTTCAAATTGAATTTAATCATAAAACTCATCAACTTCTTCTGCATCAGTGGTTGGAACATAAACCTGAATAACCTTCATATTAAAGGCTATTCCATGAAGTCTAATTGATATTATACATTCATTGATTGCATTGCAGGTTTATTTTCTTGATCTACCTTCCTAATTATGAAAGCAACATTGTTCCTTCTATGTTTTTCATGTCTTTAATAATAAATATTGTGATCTTTTGACTGAAAATACCCCACTCCAGTCTATTATCAATTAATTTATGCCTAAAATGTGGATGTGTTGTTGATTCATTTCATTTTTCATATATTGAGGTTTCCCATATCCATGTTTCTTACCTCCCTATTAATTCTATCTTTGTAGCTTCCAATTTTTTTTTCTGATATGGTAACATCAGCAACTAGGTATCCCGAAAGGCTTTACTCTAGCCACCTCATAGACACCCTTAGTACTCTGAAGGATGATAGCATGCTGAATGCCTTCTGACTTGAAGGACCCATCATCTGGAAGGAGAGAGACAGAGAGAGACAAAGAGACAGAGAGAGCACAACAGGAGTTGGGGGCAAAACAGTTCATAGATAGCAAATAATATATTCTTGAACAGAAATTCAAAATAAAGGAAAGTCTTGCAGCTCAGTTTCAGTCTGTGCTGAAACACCAAATTCTCATGCCACATTACAAATTTCAAATTTTCTCTACTGCTTCCCTCAGTCACTTATTCTTTCATTCCAATAGTGGTGGTATTCAGCCGGTTTGGACCAATTTCGGTGAACCGGTAGCAGAAATTGGCTCTATGAAGTCCTATTTAGGCACGTTTTTGAGGCCATGGGCACGCGCAGAAGATGCGCACACAAGCAAAGTGCATGTGTGGAAGGCTGTGCGCATGCGCACATGCTCACATTTGCGAACCGGAAAGTAAGTGAATACCACCCCTGTATTCCAAATGTTCTTTTCTGAATCGACCTGTTCCATATTTTTTTCCTAATTTTCATTCCATGTTTCTCGGTAATCCTGGAAATAGAATTCATATGAAAATTTCTTTCCTCTGTTTAGTTCCTTCAAAAGGAAAGGAGGGAGGGTTAATAGAGAAAACTGAATCAAGATAGGTGTTGCCTATTATGTATGTAAAAGGGAAAGGATTCTGGAATAAATTTATCTCAGCTATTTCTGGCAAAGCTCTCTTTTACTTTCCATCTCCTCGTTCCTTTTGTTCTGATCCCACAGAGCTTGCAAGCCTGAAGGCAGGTGAAGTTCATTTTTAGTGTTGTTCAGTACTTCATATATTTTAGGCAATCCAATTAAATGATGAAGAAAAATGTGGAGTGTGGAACATTTATAATTTTGTTATTAGTCATAGCAAAGAAAGGTCAAACAAGCATGTGGGAAAATATATTTCAAAGGGCTTGATCAATTAAACTAAAGTATTGTTGTTTGCACCAGAGAACAAGGAACAGAACTGCAGATGGTTATATAATTACCCAAGATCCTTCTTTGATTCAGTGAAATTCAGTTTTGTTTTGGGGCTCTTCTTAAACTTTAAAATGTCACAAAGCTAGTTAAGATTCTACCAAAATCACTTTCTTTAGTAATTTATAGTACGAAGTACAGAATTATTCATTAGATAGGTCTGAATGGTAGGGAGGTAGGTGGGTGGGTGGGTGGGTGGGTGGATGGATGGATGGGATGGGATGGGATGGGATGGGATGGGATGGAGGGAGGGAGGGTGGGATTCCCCCAAAGTTGCATCATGTGTTTGAATAATATTAAACTATTTAAAAATTGTATAAAACTTCATTCTATTTTAGGGCCATACATATGACATTTCATACAATGGAAAATGGATTTTCCTCCATTTAAATGTAAATAGTTGTATGAAAACCAGGGGTGAAATCCAGCAGGTTCTGACAGGTTCTGGAGAACCGGTAGCGGAAATTTTGAGCAGTTTGGAGAACCGGCAAATATCACCTCTAGCTGGCCCCAGAGTGGGGTGGGAATGGGTATTTTGCAATATCCTTCCCTAGGAGTGGGGAGGGAATGGGTATTTTGCAGGATCCTTCCCCTGGACTGGGGTGGGAATGGAGATTTTGCAGTATCCTTCCCCTGCCATGCCCACAGAACTGTTAATAAAAGAATTTGGATTTCACCACTGATGAAACCCTTCAAGTTTGGGATTCTTTCTTCCCTACAACACACTGTCAACATTTACCTTCCAAATTTCTGTAAGGCTATAATCTATGTTTACCCAAAGGTTCACAGAGCTCTGGATATATTGCCTTTTTGTTGTTTAGACCCAAGATAAGTTCAAATAAAGAAAATAAAAAGGAAATCAAGAAGATGCTATACATCTCACATAAACAGGAGGCAAGTAGTTATATTCATAGGATGTTTCATTACTGCTATATAGTTCTGCATCTGTTTGCTTCAGGGCAGATTGGTTGCATATTCACTTTCAAATTGCAAGCATATTGTTTGTATGTTTGTTTATATTACAAACAGATATGCCTCTCACAAATGGCTTTTGGTGGCACACAAAAAACTATAAACCTGAAAAATCACACTGCAGCATTAAAAACAGGCCCTTCTAAAACTCTGTAAGTCCTGGGTTTAAAATAGATTTTGAGCCTTCTTCTAAAATATAATTTGGAAGGAACAAACCACAATTATATAAAGCAGTTTGTTCCAACATATGGGCCCCACCACAGAAAAATCGTAATTGAATATCCATATTGGAAGGATCCATGGCAATATTTGTAAAAAAAAAAAGACACACACACAAAGCTTTCCTGCATTTAGGATCTCTATTGAACCCTGAGACAGATGGATCTTTTTATTGGATAGAACTAATAGCTCTTCAAATATAAAACATCAATCAATATAACATGTGCTAGGCTCTAGAAAAAAGAAGTCCCTTTTAAATCATAGTGGAAAATCCTTTTGAAATCTCTCAGATGTAAAATGGACAAGGATTGCATGCTAGCTGTCATGTCCCAGTCGGAGTCTGAATCTGTGGGGGAAGATGAGCTGGAACAAGAGCCAACAGAGAGCGAGAGGGCAGCTCCATTGGCCTTGGAGAAAACTGGGGAAGGGCAGAATCTGTCCGGGCAAGGCTTTTCAGGATTAGAAAGGCTTGCAGACAGGGAAGAGCAGGAGAGACAGAGCTCAGGCAAAGAGCAAGGGCCACCCCCTCCTGATCCTAGAGCACGCAGAGAAGAGAGAAGCGAGAACAATGCAGACTGATCGGGCTACAAGGGAGGAGAGTGCCCCGCCCCCCTTCACAAGGTACACCTGGGGACTGAGATGTAAGGAGATGCTGGTGGGAGGGGCATTTGTCAGGAACAAGCGTTGAATCTGTGGAGTTTTATGTGCACTTGCCGGCACCTGAAGATTACTGTTTGGCCAAACCTGATTTACTGACTGCTGGCCCTGGTTACTGTTTGGCTAAACCTGGCTTATTGGACTGCTGGCCCTGGTTACTGTTTGGCTAAACCTGGTTTACTGGATTACTCGCAGCCAGAGGCTGCTGAAGGTGTGTGTGAGAGCTTTGCTCCAAGACTTGTAGTAAATGTGGGGACATTTGGGGGCAAAGTTGGATCAATAAAAGGGAGTTAGTCCTGTTCTCTGGCTGTGTTGCTTTTGTGCCACGCCCTGGGTCATCACACTAGATTAGGGGCAAGGAATGTGATACAGTGACAATCCATATGGTAGTTAAAGTCTCATACGCTGTGTTAGATCCAGGACCAGTACATTTCCCCAAGATGGTATATTTCAGAAGAGGCAACTATCAGTGCATTAGTATGAAACACAGCAATACCATGTTCCCTGATAAAACGTGCAACCATATTTCTTTTTGCCTGAACTTAAAGATAATGTCCTGAAGCAAAGAAGGCAGAGATATTGTCAATATGTATGAAATAGGCTATTTACAACTTCCTGGGTCAACACCAGCAATTTGGATTCTCCTAGACATTGACAATGAAATATGAGAATGAAATTGAAATGTCAGAATGAAAATAATGGTAATCCATGCTGAGCTATAAAACTAGAGAGGAATCAAAATAAATGAATATACAAGTAAAATAATGAGCAAACCAAGAGACTGAATTATTGCTTTTCACATAATGAGTTTAGTTACTTTTCTCACATTCTACACTGTATGACAC